AAGCCCCAGAATCCTTGCCTCCAAGGAGTTGCTTGGTTTAATCCTCTCCAGGGTGAATCTGTTTGTTTTCCTGGAAGTCCATGGTACATTCAATACTCCTCTCCAGCACCACAGCTCAAAGGAATCAACTCTCCTTCTGTCCTCCCTAGTCATTGATAGACAAATGATAGACCTGCAAAATACATAAAATAATGTCTAACCAAATTGAAGAGAGAAATAGACAGCACCACAACAGTGGTAGGAAATTTTAACACACCACTATCACCAAAGGATAGGTCAACTCAAAAGAAACTCAACAAAGATGCAGAAGACCTAAACTATACAATCAGCCAACTTGAACTTGTGGATGTATTCAGAGTACTGCACCCAACTCAATTCACTTTCTTCTCAAGTGCACATGATACATTCTCCAGAATTGAATATATATTAGGACACAAAGCAAGCCTTGTCAAATTCAAAAACATTGAAATAATACAAAGTATTTTCTCAGACTTCTATGCCATAAAACTAGAAATTAACCACAGAATAGTAAAGTTTGCAAACCCAGCTATGTGAAAACTGAATAACTCTCTGCTAGAACATGATTGAGTTATAAAAGAAATAAAGAATAAAATTAAAAAGTTCCTTGAATCAAATGATAATGAAATTACAACTTACCAAAACCTCTGGGGCATAGTGAAAGAAGTCCTCAGGGGGCAGTTCATAGAAATAGGCACACACATAAAAAAAAAGAAGAAGAAAGAAGAATCAATGATCTAACTCAACACATTCGGGAAATAGAAAAAGATCAGTAATCCAATCCTACAATTTCAAGAAGAAAAGAAATTATAAGGACAAGAGCTGAAGTCAATGAGATAGAAAACAGAAAAACAGTTGAAAACGTCGATAAGACCAGGAGCTGGTTTTCGAAAGTGTCAATAAAATTGACAAACCACTGGGAAATTTAACAAAAGGGGGGGCAAGAAATGATATAGATAACTCGATTAAGAAATGACAGAGGTGATATCACAAAAGAACTAGAGGAAATTGAATTGATAGTATCAGAATACAATGAAAAGCTATATACTCTGATTAATTAAAAAACCTAGGTAAAATGGACAAATTCCTTGAAACACATCACCTGTCCAGATTGACAAGGACAGATATAGAACACTTGAACAGACCCATCACAAGAGAAAAAAAGTGAAAAGGTCATGAAAAGACTTCCCCATAAGAAAAGTCTTGGACCAGATGGCTTCACAGCTGAATTCTACCAAACATTCAGAGAGGATTTATCACCCATTTTACTTAAATTATTTCAAAAATTGAAAAAGAAGGAATACTTCCAGAGTCATTCTATGAAACAAGCATAATCCTTATACCAAAACCAGGCAAAGATATCAGCAAGAAAGAAAACTACAGACCAATATCTCTCATGAATATAGATGCAAAAATACTTAACAAAATCAGAGCCACTATAATTCAAAAGCACATGAAAAAAAAATTCACCATGTCCAATTGGGATTCATAACAGGTATACAAGAATGGTTCAACATAAGGAAAACAATCAACATAATTCACCATATTAACACAGTAAGTAACAAGAGCCATATGATCTTAGCAATAGATGTAGAAAAGGCATTAAGTGAAATCCAACACTCCATCCTGATAAAGACACTCACTAAAATTGGAATAGGAAGGAAGTTCCTCAACACAGTGAAAGTATGCATGCAAAAACCAAGAGCCAACATCATTCACAATGGAGAAAGACTAAAAGCATTTTCCTTGCAAACAGGGACCAGACAAGGATGCCCACTATCACCAGTTCTTTTCAACATTTTATTGGAAGTGCTTCCTAGGGCAATATGGCAAGAGAAGAAAATAAAAGGCATCCAGATTAGCAAAGAGATGGTTAAACTGTCACTATATGCAGATGATATGATAGTGTACACAGAAAACCCAAAAACTCAACCAAAAAATTGATAGAGTTAAAAGGCCAATTTAGTAAAGTGGCAGGATATAAGATCAATATCCAAAAACCAGTAGGATTCCTCTACAGTAACAAAGAGCACTCAGAGACAGAAATAAAAAAAAAAAAGCAATACCATTTACAATCACCAACCACAAATTGAGATACTTGGGAGTGAACCTAACTAGAGATACAAAAGACCTATACAAAGAAAACTTCAAAGCCTTCCTTCAAGACACAATAAAAGACCTTAAGAAATGGGAAAATGTGCCCTGTTCATGGGTAGGAAGACTTAGTATTGTGAAAAATAACAATCCTACCAAAACCAATCTACATGTTCAATGCAATACCAATCCAGATACCAAATTCATTTTTCAAGGAGATTGAAAGGGAAATTTTCAAATTTGGAGATGCAAGAGACCCCGAATAAGCAAAACACTCCTTGCGAAACAAAAATGAGGTTGGAGGCATAACTCAGCCTGACCTCAAAACCTACTACACAATAGTATGGTACTGGTACAAAGAAAGGCATATAGACCAATGGAACAGAATTGAGAACCCAGAAATACACCTATCTATCTATTGTCAACTGATATTTGACAATGAAATCAAAGCTATCAAAGAAGGAACAATACCCTCTTCAACAACTGGTGCTGTCAAAACTGGACTTCCACCTGCAAAAAGTTGAAACAGGATCCACATCTCACATCATACAGAAAAATCAACTCAAGGTGAATCAGAGACCTTGAAGTCAAGCCCAAAATCATAACATTCATAAGAGACAAACTAAGATCAAGCTTAGACGTGCTAGTTTACGGTACAAAGAGACTGCCAAATACAACCAGAAATGCACAATCTGAAGAGGATAAAGGTGATGCATGGGACCTTTAAAGATTAAATCCATGTAGGCATCAAAAACTTTTTCCAACAGTGTGAAAAGAAAACCTACAGACCGGGAACAAACATTTGGTAATACCGTCTGAAACAAGAGTCTTATAACAAAAGTTTATAGAATACTCCTGGGCCTCCACAAGAAAAAGACTGATAAGCCAATTCTAAAATGGGCAAAAGACATTTTCAGAAAGAATTTTCAAAAGATATTCGAATGACAGACAGACACATGAAGAAATGCTCCAAAGCATTGACAATAAGAGAGATGCAAATCAAAACCAAAATGAGGTGCCATTTCACTCCAGTAACAGTGGCAAAGTTTAACAGTGCAGCAAGTTATGAATGTTGGAGAGGATGTGGCAAGAAAGGAACTCTTTAAACATTGTTGGTGGGATTGTAAAATGGTGCAACCATTCTGGAAGGTAGTTAGTTTGTTGCTTCCTCAAAAAGCTGAACATAGCAATTCCATATGACCCAACTATTCCACTACTTGGAAAATACCCTGGAAAATGAGAATTGAGGCACAAATGGAGATTTGTACACCAATGTTCATAGTAGCATTATTCACCATCACAAGAACATGGAAACAGCCCAAATGTCCAACCACAAAGGAATGGATTGAGAAATTATGGTACATTCACTTAATGAAATATACTATGTGGCACTCAGGAACAATGATTTTGCAAATTATTACCTAACTTGGGAGGGACTGAAGAGCATTATGCTGAGTGAACTAACTCAGTCTCACAAGGATAAATATTGTACAAAACCATTATTGTAGAATGAATATAAGGATTCAAGAGGGGTGGGAAAGGGTGGAAGCAGAAGAATGAGGATATGCAGGGGGAAGTAGGGATTAATTTTGGGGTTGAACAATTTGATGGGGGGGGTGAGGGAAATTGAAAGAATCTGTTCTCAAAAACAATGTAATCGAATTTTGTAAATAAACTAGTATAAAGTTTTTTTTTAATTAGCCATACTCAAAATGGAAATATTTAGCAACTGGCATGATAAAATGTTAAGACAATAACAACAACAACAAAAAAAAAAACCACACACACACACAAAAGGAGCATGTAAGAAGTTCCATATTAACAATGTCAAATGTGATAAACCTCAAATTCTCATCATTTGGGTTCTAAATTTGAGTTAACAAGCCCTGGTGGTGTTCTGCATAGCACGTCAAGCTGCTAACCAAAGATCAGAAGTTCAAATCCACCAGATACTCGGCAGGAGAAAGAGAAGTGGTCCCTCCCTGTAATGATTCTCATCCTCAGATATGGAAGGTCACCATGGTCTGAACTTTCTTGGCAGCAGTGAGTCTAGGTCTGAAGGTTGTTGTCAGTGTGTTACTTCTAACTGGCGTCCCTGAGTTCTCCGTGTGTGTGGCTGCTGTCTGAGAGGTTGATGGTTTGAGCCCTACCAGAGGCCCCTCAGTATAAAAATTAGGTAAAATATCAGCCTTTGCAAATCCTATGGAGCACAGTTCTGCTCAGACCCATGAGGTCACCATGAATAGGGATCATCTCAGTGGCAAATGATAATGATTGGTTTCTTTGCTTTCTTTCTAGTTGTTTCAACAACCCTTCAGGTTGAGCATTTTATCACCATTTGGCATACAGTTAAGGAAAGTTATGTAGACGGCTAATAAATGATAAAAACACAATTCCAGCTCCAGTCAGTCTGACTTGAAAGCCCGCCATCCTTCCACTCCCCTCCATCACCACTCTTTATCAGACAGCAGCCCCAAATCTGATTTTCTTTTGTGCACATTCTTATTCATCTGCCAGGAAATGATCTAAGGAACAGTTTTAGCTACCAAATGGCTTTGCTCTGCCATTTAGCATATTGTTGGCTTCTTTAACTCGCCACATGGTTGTGCTTTGAATCTAGAAGCTCATTTAATGCCGACATGTGAAAAATAGAAGTGATGATGATAATATGGCAGCATCCAGGCTTCCACAGTGCTTACAAATGCTGAGAATTCCTCCAAGGACTTACGTTTATGAGCACATTTAATCCTCCAGCAACTCTATGAGTTTGAAGCTTTTATTACCCCCATTTTATGGGGAAGATGCTGAGGAAACTTATAGTAAAGTAACTTGCCCAAAACAGATAAATGATAAAGCCAAGGTTTAAAGATAATTGCACAATAAACCTGCCAGGTAAAAGGGAGGTGAGACACAACAGAAATGTTTTAAGTCCCATGATGCAACTTGCAAATAGCCTCAAGCTAATTACATGTACGTTGAGCATCCCCATGTCCACAAATGGGGCTGGTTTTGGTTTGCCCGAGGAGTCACTGGGTTATCCAGTGGTCATGTACTCATATTGCTAATAAAAAGGTTAGATGGTCAAGTTCAGCCAGAAACACTTGGAGGAAAAAGGCTTGGGGATCTAGTTAGGAAATATCAGTCATTGAAACTTCTATGGTGCACAGTTCCACTCGGGAGAACACAGGTTCTTTCATCCATGTGTACCCAAACAACATGCAAATGTAAAGAATGAAAAAAAAAGCAAGCAAAATTAACAGCAGAAACCAGTATCAAATGCACAGAATGTGGTAGAACAAAAATGGCCTCCAGTTACAAACATGGACCTTCTGAATACAATGACTGTATTACTTCTAGCCACTCCATGGGAGAAAGATGAGCAATCTCCTCCTGTGTGACTGATAGCCACTGAAACACACTGAAGGATCAGAGTCAATGGCAATAAGAGTGAGAGTGACTTCTGTAAAGAGCAAACCAAAGTTGATTTGACTCTTCCTTCTGGCCTTGCAATATATTAAAGGGACATGAAATGCTGTAAGTCACCCTAAATATGGTAGAAACAATGTAAACACTCCTAGCTGGAGCTATGGTACTTTGAGTTCCAGCCAGAAGAAGCCCCAGATTTATTTTTATCAGTACTTGTTAATTCACTACTAACCAAACCTACAATTTCTCAAATCAGCCTTAGAATATCCATAGTCTGATGCAGTATTCTGGGCTCATTGAAAGGCAATCTTATTTCAGAGAATATTATTCACAAGTGTCAGCAAACTTAAATAATTAAGCTGTGATGTGACATAAAGTTCTCCTTTTTCTACATATTTATTTTTCCTCTGAATGTGAGCCTTCATGGATGCCAAAGGGGTGATTTATGAAGGGGATGAGGAATCCCTTGGGCCTCACAAATCCTTTTAGTCTCTCTCCCTTCTGCTTTCCCCCTCCCATTAACTAAAAAGAGCCCAGCAAAACTGCAAAGCCTGCAAGCCCCGTTCCTCCTTACCGGGACTCCAGGCTGCACGTTTGCAAGGCACAACCTGAGTCCATGGAGAGCTGCACTGCGAACACAAAGGTGAAGCCTGGCAGTTCAAATCCATTTATTGTTCCATGGGGGGAGAACAAGCAATCTTCCCTCATACAATTCACAGTCTCCTACAATCCCTCTTGAAGGTGTGCTATGATTCTCTTCCTGCTTGACGGCAGTGAGTTGAAAGTTCTGTTATTTTTGAATGAAAACCACCCTTCATATGCCTAAATAAGTAAGCCTTTTCTTTTTGAATCTTAGCTAACTGAGTTATCTGTTTGCCTCCTAGTCATGGTTCAAGAAGATTACCACAGTCAAAACCCATATCACAACGCTGTCCATGCAGCAGACGTCACCCAGGCCATGCACTGCTACTTAAAGGAGCCAAAGGTAAGGCAGGTCCAGCTGATACCGCAGTCATCTAGAAATGCCAAGGCTACATACTGGGTCTCCAGATAACCTATCACATCAGAAAAACATGGTGCCATTAAGTCAGCTGAGGCTCCGTGTGAGCCTTTGAACTGCAGATCTGAGTCTCCTTTTTCCATCCTGCATTCTCCTCACCTTCTCTGTCATATACAGTCTATTATATTCACATCATTCCAACTTGTTGAGGGGCTTCCTCTCTTTTGCTGACCTTCTTCTGCCTTTATATGATGTCTTTCTCTCTCTAAGGACTAGTTAAGGCCAAGTTTCACCATCCTTGCCTCTATTACACAAGCTTTTCTGCTGGCTGCATCTCTTTAAAGATAGATTCAAGCCCACCATATACTAATGTTGCAAACAGGTAATAGAATTGCAGAAATAAAATGAAGCAAAATGACAGTAGGCAGAAGAATGAGACAGACATCCAAGAAGATAAAACAGAGAGCATAAAAACAGGGGTCCAGCAGTTCTCTCCACTAAAGGGCCTCATTCCAGCTTCCTTGTATCTTTATTGAAAAATATCAGGGAGTAAATCACAAAGAGAATTCAATGCAAATGAAGCCAAGCTCTTTCTATTGAAAACCTTCCCTTTGACTTAGGAGGGAGGGGTCAGCAAATACAATACAAGAATCTGGTAAACCCTTAAGGATTGCCTTAGTGCTTCAGGGTGGACTCCATCCTGAAATAGCATTTGGTTTATTACAAATATTTAGTATTGGCTTCTCAGACTCTTCTTTTTATCTTAAAATGCCATGTGACTATCAAATTATTGAGGGAGGAGCTCTAGTGACTTAGTGGTAGCTCCACTGGAGAAAGAGAGGCCTCAGAAAACCTGCTATAAGGTCAGCTATGTATCTGCTCCAATTTGATGATACACAACAAGGACAATCATCTAATGTCTCGAAGAGTATACATCTGAAACCTGAACGTTGCCACCTTGATTCATTTGGTGTAACATCAAAACAAATGCTAATCTATTTGTGATAATACACCAATCAAACTCTTGTTTTATTGGGAGGCTTTTTTCATAGTTGTATTGGTTTACATACATTATTCACTTCCATTGTGTTTCATTCATATACACTGCTTTATACAATCACTCATATATGTTGTATTTTCTATAATTGTTTACTATTGATCTATGTCTATTACTGAGGGAACTCTAGTGAACTGTTGTAGTTGTTGTTGTTCTTGTTCTTTTATACCCTTGAGTCAGAATCAACCCATAGCTGACCCTCCAGTGCATTTTCAGAGGCAGTTACTTGCATGTGAGGAGATTGCCCATCCTTCCACGGAGCAGCTGGTGGCCTCAAACCCCATGCCTTTGGAATTGCAGTGAAGCTTCTTGCCACTAGACCACCAGTGCTCATTTGTGGCCTAGTGGTAAAAATCTGCACTGCAATCCCCGAAGACATGCAGCTCAAATCCACAAACTGCTCTGTGGGAGAAAGCTGGGCAGTCTCCTCCTGTGACATTAACTGCCTCTGAAAACCCAGCAGAGGGTCAGCTATTTATTGGTCAGCTCCAATTTAATAGCACACAACAACATGACTATTATCACCCCATCCTTTCAAGTCCCTGTTGAATCTTTCCAATTGCTTCACTTCCCCAAACGCCAACTATTACAGAGTTTTTCCCACCCCTTTCATCCCCCCTTCTCCCTCTCTTCCTTCTGAACATTTATGCAAATCTTGTTCAGTTATTCTTCTATTTTCACAATAGTGTTCTTATGCAGTATTTGTCTTTGTGAGACCGAGTTATTTCACTCAGCATAATGCTCTCTAGACTCTCCTATGTTACCTAGTATTTTATGAAATTGTTCCTTAGTGCCGCATAGTATTCTGTTGTGTGAATGTACCACAATTTTTCAAGTCATTCGTTTGTTGATGGGCATTTGGGCTGTTTCCATTGTCTTGCTATTGTGAACGAAGCTGATGTGAACTCCTGTTTTGATGCTTGACCTCCTGTTTCAACTTTTAACAGCTTGCCAGCTTCCTCACACCTCTGGACATCATGCTGGGACTACTGGCTGCAGCAGCACACGATGTTGACCACCCTGGAGTGAACCAGCCATTTTTGATCAAAACTAACCACCACCTTGCCAATTTATATCAGGTAAGGAAGTCCAACCCCAAAGCAGAGTCCAGAAAATGCCCTTGGGCCTGGTGCCTGAGCCTACATCTTGACTCAGCCTCTTTAAGGTTCAGTAACATTGATGATTAACATCATTATCCAAAGAACTTAGGTTTTAACCAAGCCCAGGATACTCCTCAAATGAAACAAGTTCGTTTACAGAGATACCCTAGCAAGTCCTTTTTCCTAACGCCAACTTAAAATTATTCTGTAACAAAGAGGATCCCTGACCTTATGCTCTCACAGCCTGAAAATATCTGTCTCCTGTCTCCATGGAACTTAATTTGTATACAACAATCAGTTGAAGGCAGTCTTTTCAGGACTTCCGTGGCTATTTGTCAGATGCAGTTATAATTCCGACATTTCTTTGGGGCCAGTTTTTAACTGTATTGGCTTCTGGGTCAGCATGATATTAATCAAGAACAACAGGTAGGTTTGTTGTTACAAAACAGTTCAACAGCATAAGTAGGTTGGCCTGAAGAATTCTTATCTATAATATACTTTCTAATATCAAGCTTTTAATAGACTTTCTAATATCAAACTCTATCTCCTGAATGACTAATTCTCAGAACGTTCAGCATGATTCTCTCGACAACTTCAGTGGTCACTGTTGAAGTAATTTCCTACAAAACCAACCCCCAGCCTACTTCCATCTAGTCACGTCCAACAAATCAATCCGACAGAAGTCCCACAAGGTTTCCAAAGCTGCAAATCTTCACAGAAGTCAACCGCCACATCTTTCTACCACAGAGTGACTTCTGGGTCCAGAACTCTATTATTTTTTTTATGCTAGTTTATTTGCAAAGTTTATATTTGCTGTTTTTCACATCAATCCTTTCCCTTTCTTTTACCCACCCCTCCAGCCACCCATCGAATTGTTGGACCCTATGATTAAGCCCATCCCTCTCCTCCTTCGCTCCTTGTACTCATTCTACAAAGATGGTCTTATAGAGTATTTGTCTTTTTGACACTGAGATAGTTCACTAAGCATAATGCTCTCCAGTCCCTCCCAAGATGAGTAGTAATTTACAAAATCATTGCTCTTGTGTGCTGCATAGTATTCCATTGTGTGAATGTACCATAATTTCTCAATCCATCCAATTGTGTTTAGGCATTTGCATTATTTCCATGTTCTTGGGATGGTGAATAATGCTGCTATGAGTATTGGTGTACAAGTCTCTGTGTCTTGGTTCTCATTTTCTCACTGTATATTCTAAGCAGTGAAAGAGCTGGGTCATGTGGTATTTCTATGTTCAGCTTTTTGAGGAAATGTCAGGCTGCCTTCTAGTGTGGTTGTACCGTTTTATAATCCCACCAACAATGTAGAAGAGTTCTTATCTCACCACATCCTCTCCAATGTTTATTACTTGCTGCCCTGCTAAATTTTGCCAGTGCTACTGGGGTAAGATGGTATCTTATTATCGTTTTTATTTGTATCTCTCTTATTGCCATAGATTTGGGGCATTTCTTTATCTGTCTGTTGGCCATCTGAATGTCCTCCTCTGTGAAATGACTTTCCATGTCTCTTATCCATTTTGTAATTGGATAATTAGTCCTTTTCTTGAGGAGGCCCAGGAGTATTCTGTAAACTTTCATTGTGAGACTCTTGTCTGATATTGTATTGCCAAATGTGTTCCCAGTCAGTAGATTTTCTTTTCATCCTGTTGGGAGAAGGTTTTGATGAGCACAGAGTATCTTTAGAAGGCCCCATTCATCAATTTCTATCCTCTTCAGATTGTATATTACTGATTGTATTTGGCAGTCTCTTTATACCATAGACTAGGGCCTCTAAGCTTGATCCCAGTTTATCTTTTATGAACTTCATGGTTTGGGGCTTTACTCCCAGGTCTCTGATCCACCTTGAGTTGATTTTTGTGCATGGTGTGAGATGTGGATACTGTTTCAGCCTTTTTGCAGTTTTTGTCAGTTTTGCCAGTATCATTTGTTGAAGAGGTTGTCATTTTTCCCTTTTGATAGGTTTTATTTCCTTGTCAAATATCAGTTGACCATAAATAGCTGGATTCATTTCTGAGTTCTCAATCCTGTTCCATTGGTCTGTGTGCCTGTTTTTGGACCAGTACCACACTGTTTTGGTTACTACTACTTCCTATCCATGAACAGGGTGCATTTTTCCATTTCTTTAGTTCTTTTATCAGAACACTAATTTTTTGGTTAGCAGCCATACACAATTTAACCATTACATCACTAGGCACCTTCATTTACACAAGGGAGTCACTCATTTCAATTATTGTAGATCTTTTTTGAAGTAATTTCACGCAGAAAAAAAGTCAATCTCCATAATAGTCTATGTGTTTCCTACTGCCAAAGGGGCCCTTTAGAGTAGTGAGAGAAGACCTTCACCCTGAAACTCACAGCGTCCCTTTTCAGCAGGAAGTAGCTAAGAGAATACGCCATCCCCTTTTCCTTATGAATAAAGGTGAAGTCTCTCTCAGGGAGGAGTGATAGGGAATGGCAAAGGACACACTGACAAAGGAGATTAATCAGAACTGACTTTGACAAGCACTGTGGCAATTAGACAATTAAAACAGACATTCGGATGGCGGGGGAAGAAGAACAAACTGGGGAGCAGGGTAGAGAGAATGGTGCAGCAATGAAGGAATGAAAACCCAAAATCCCTGTAAATGTTCATTAAAACTAATAAAATTTAATAACAATAAAAAAAGAAGAAAAATTCACTTTAATGACAACAATCTGAAACAAGAGGTGCATTGCAATGTGGACTGGGGTGGGGGAGGAGGAGGGTAGAGTAAATGAATAACAAGTTTTTAAAAATTAATAAAAATTATTTTTAGAGCAAAAAAAAAAGTCTTGATGGAGGTTCATCCAAACAACAGCATCTTACTATATTTTGTAGTTTAAGGAGACATTTCTTTCCAATAAAATACAACTGGAATACCAAGAAAGCTCTTCACTCCATCAAGGTGATAAGCTTTCTCGGCACAGATTGGCACCAGCATTTCAATGCTATGGTTCCACATGGCATTTGTTTCAGCCCCAGGCAACCTTGGCTGTTGGCTGGTAACGCCTGGAGCTTGGATAGGTACAGCCACAGAAGGGGGGAACAGTGAGTTTGTTAGAAACCTTTTGATGAGAAACTAAAATCTACACAGAGAAAAATAAAACCCAAATCTGAATTTTCTAATCCCTCTCAGAAGTATGAAAAAAATCCTAGTGCATTTTCAATTTTGGTCAGTTTTACATTTTTCAAATATCTTCTTGGACAGAGGGAACCAACCAACGAGCAAGTAAGCTATTTCATTCTTTTGTGTATAATGTAAATGCTCACTCAATTCTAATTTTTCATCACTAAATAAATATAAATGGACTTTAAAAAAGATATCTCTTCCTACAATACAATTTCATATGAAAATGAGAGCCATAAAACAAGACTTTGGCAAGGATTATATAAACAATAGATCATGGATACATATTTGTACAGGCAGTCAGAAGAAATATACCAGATGTTAAAGATATGAAAAACAAGAAAATAAGTATACAGTTTAGTTAATAATGAAGAATTAAATTGTTGTTGTTATATAACATTGAGTCAAGTATAATTCATAGCAACTCTGTGAACAATGGATCTGAAACCTGCTCTATCCTGTGCCATCCTCGCCATCTCCAACTCACTGGAACCCTTTGCTACAGCTTCTGTCAATCCATCTTGCTGGAGGCTGAGATGGATTGGCATTGGCCACTTTGCATAAGGCAATCCTGTTTACAAACTCTATGGCCTTTGATAAATGTCAATAGTTGGAGGGGCTTCAGGCCTTTTGTTCATAGGGTTGCTATGAGTTGTGCTTGACTCGAAGGCAATCAACAACAACAGCATATGATCCACTATGCTGGCAATGGAAAAGGAAGAATTAAATACACACTACTAATTAACATAAACTGACTTATGAAGGATGCTCTATGTTGTTGAAATACTGAAGATGTTCTATCTAAAAGGGCTTGAGGAAGACTTTCTTATTCAAGCTTTTGACGTTTTAATCTCTTTTAACACATTTATTAAAAATAAATATTCCAGGTGAGCTCTGGTGGCAAGAAGCTGCACTGCAATCCCAGAGGTGTGCAGTTTGAATCCACCAGATGCTCTGCTAGAGAAGGAGGGACAATCTCCTCCTGTACCAGTCAGATCTGATTTGACAGTACACACACACAAAATAGTAAAATAAAATCACTTTAAAAATAAATAAATGTTCCAATGCCATGACATTTTACATTTTTAGTGCAACACAATCTTGTTGAATATTTTGGATCTAGGAATCTAAAAATGGACTAGATACAGTCTCTGCTCTCTAATAAATGTTCAAAGTCAGAAGCTGAAAATCATAGAAAGAAACATGTACATGCAGATAAAACTTTACATTTGTATACATATGCATGTATGTGTATCTTTGAAAAATATGAGTGTTTTGGGTTTGGGGTCTTCTTTTAAACTAAAGCTGTTACTACAATAAAATGAGGTGGTTTTGAGCAGTGAACTTCCTCATCTGAAACATCTAACCTGATCCTTGGTAAAAACAAGAGCGATCCTTCTGAGAATGAACGACTGGGGAAAGTTGAGACTGAAAAGTAAAAAAAAAAACAAAACACTTTCAGATGCTCCTGACATCAACACTCTGCTCAATTGTTCTTGCAAACTCTTGCAAAATAGGAGCCCATGTTTTAAATTTCAGGGAGCAATGCTGAAGACCCCCCAGTACCAAAGAGTATCATAAAGGGGCTTTATCACATGTAGAGCAGGCTGGGATAAACACAGAGATTCGTATAAAGTAGCCACATTAGAACTTCACATATTAAAAAATTTTACAAGGACTTGAAAATATCATATTTATTTCAATTCTGTTCAAAAAACTCACAGTGCCTTTATACTTGGAGATAGATATAGATACAGAGATAGAGACAGAGATATATTCATTAACTATATTTCAGTCCTGCAAAATAGAACACTATCT